GACCTTCCCTGGTCTGGAAAACTCTTCCGGGACCCATCAGGTCCCAGGGGAGCCAGATTAAGGAGGTACAACCAATACCAAAATTTGTTGTCCAAATGGATTTGTAGCACCATCATTAAGCTACAGGTTTTTTTCTCACTTCTTCAAACCTCAAGAATGAATTAGAGATCATCTATTCTATGAAACTTATCATTCAGCAAGATCATAGAATGGCTTGGGTAACATGACTAAACACAGACTAGTCCCTTGAATACAGGGAAGACTGACTTACGTAGATGGGTCCTTCACTATTTGTATCTATTTAAATCATTTTCAGATGCCATCCAGGTAACCAGGGGCTTGTGAAACCTTCTTATATACTGGTTAGGGATTTGGTGATGGGGGGAGGAGGGGAATCATACCTGTTTCAAGAAAAAGTAGGTTAGGAAAAATAAACTGTATTGGGATCCTGAAATAAGAGACTGTGGTTGTGGTTTGTCCTTCCAAGTTTTATACCTTGGCTGACTTACCAGCTACAGGCAGAAACTACTGGGTCTGAGACTGTTTTGTTTTCTTTTTCAGCTGTGCTGATGAAATTGGGCAATACCACACAAAATGTGTAGTTGAACGGATACTAATTCTAGGAGTTCAGAAGCAGCCCACATCTGTGAATGCCAATCTCCAGGGTAAGAGAAGGAATATTTTATAAATCACGACAGTTTTTTTAAAATAATGGTAGCACTAATTAAAGGTGGCAGGTGACAACACTATAAAGACAACTATGAGCATGGGAAGCAATAGTATATAAGCTGTTAATTGCCAGTACATCCCACCCCTGTTCTTGAGGAACCATCACTGTAGTGGTAGGGTAGTTCAGTTTGTAGGATGAATTAATCCTTGGCCCCTCACTGATGGTGTTGACTGAAGCACCACTTGATGCCACTAGTGTGTAAACTGGTGGCATGTTTGGGCAGAAACCACAGCAAATGTCTGTAAGGTTCAGTTATTAGGAGAAAGTCTCAATAAACACAAAAGTAAAACCAGGTAAAAGTAAAAACAGCCCCGGTCTGGGAATCAACCTAACTCTCAGAAGCTGAGAGAGGGAGCCCTGCCTTGCCCCAAAAGTTCTCCCCCTTCTGCCTCTCCAGCAGTCCTTCCACTGAGCACCTGTGCAAAGACAAGTGAAACAGAGGCTGGGGTTAACTTGTGCTCTGAGGACATGCTAGTGATTATTTTTCATTACATTTGACCACTAGGGAACTGCACTGAAACTGAGGTGTCAGTGTCTCCATAGGAAGATGTTTGCTGCCTGCTTTTCGAGACCAGGGACAAAGTTGTTGGCTGCTTCCACTGAAGGGCCCACCAGTATAATAACTCCCAAGCCAAGAAACACTTTGGCTACAGAGACAGTTGTGTTAGTAGAGCCCTGCTTGAGAGTTAACAAATGTAGATAACCTCATATCAGAGAGCATGCAGCTGGAGAAAGGGTTTAATAATAACTCTGAGACTCTCAAATAGAGTGGGTCAAACTGGTCCAAAAAAGAAAATGTGCAGGCCAAAACAAAAGTGTTTCTATTTTGTCGCTCACATGGGAGTGGGGGGAGGGGGAAGGAGGTGTCACAGAACCCACTGCACTATATAAGAGAAAGCAAGTGGAATTTGCACAGATGACCTGTCCCTCCAGGGTCCTCCCTTTCCCGTTTGGGAATCATACTGTCATTGGTCCTGCCTGCATCTGTCTCTACCCCTGCTAAGGCACAAAAAGCAGCAGTTAATGCAGAAACAAGCATTTGCTTTTGCTGGCATGTTGCTGGATGTGCCTGGGGATAAAGATTCAGAAGGCAGCTTCCCCCAAAAAAATCCACGGAGCCCTAAGGACCTGTCTGCAGAGTTGAAGTAAAGGAAGATATGATACCTTAGACTCTGATACACTCTTAAAGCATAGAGGCCAGATTTGGCCAGCAAGAACTCTTCTTTGACCATCTCCATGCCTAACAGAGAGTAAGAGAAATAAGGCAACCATGTACAGTATAACTTCGTTCAGAAGGGGTTTTCTTAAAGTGAATCATAAACTCTCTCATCCCATTGCAATACAGATGGGAAAGACAAAGAAGTGGTTTTCACGTATGATATCACGACCTCCATGTTGACCCTGGAAAAGCTATTATTGAATATTGGTGATGACTGGGAAATTCACATCATGTGAGAAGATAAACTGCATCTTCAGAGAAGTTGATGAAAAGTTGAAAGGAAATGGTTTTGAAGGACTTAACTTGTTCTCTTGAATATGACTAGTTTGTAAAATGTAAGCAGAGCTATTGCAGCCACAGGCTGATCTTTCTTAACGTTATCTTTTATAAAAGATTTATTTGATTTAGATTTTACACACTCTTCCCAGATCACTAGCTAGCAAAAGTGATTTAGATTTTACACAATCTTCCCAGATCACTAGCTAGCAAAAGTAGCGCAAATGAGGTCATATCACTAGAAAAGGCTCATTGCTATCCTGCGAAGGTTGGCTTCATTTTGGTGGACAGGATTCTGCAGGCAGTGGACTGAATTCTGCCCTCACTTGTATCCATGATTGGGACTGGCTTTCAAGATCGTAAGCCCAAGGACTTTTAGTTTTTAATTTTAAGACAATTTTCTAAGCGTCTGCAAATTACTGCTATCTGGCTGTTTGAGTAGGGCATTTTGCAGAAAGAGGAAAGGAAGAGCCCTGCATCAGCTCAATCAAACAACATTGGTGAATCTATGCAAGATGCAAAGGACTAAAATTTATGTCTAGGACTCTGTGGCAAACTACCTTGGACAGAACCAGGAATTAATGTGTTTACTTCTGTTCCAAGCATTCCCCTTCTGCCCCTATAGCACCTAGTCCACAAGACGAGGAACAACTACACAGTCTGTTTACAGGGAAGTAAATAGCAGAGCTGGATGAACAGTTCAGCAGTTGAATCTGAACTCAGCTCGAAGTCAAGGTCTGGGGAAGGCAGCATGGGCCAGGTGATGTGAGTGAATGAATGATAATAAGTGGGTGGGAATATCATATTAAATATTTATTTCTAGACTTTATAACATTTAGATTTTTTTAAAGGTGCCCAATTTTTATATAGGCTAATATTGGGTTTGGATATTCGCTGGGTTCCCATAAACACTTTCTGTCATAACACTTTTTCTTCTTCCAGTGATTGGTCACATTGATTCCAGTTAGGTGTGCACGTGCCACATGCAGAATCATTGGAAAGTTTTCCTTTAGCACCAACATTGGGTCGTCTGTTGAGCCTCATGGAATGGCACCTCCATGGCACTCAGTATATGACTCTGCCAACCGGGAGCCTCCTCAGTTCCTTCTTGCCACCAGTGACAGTCATTGGAACTGTGGTGACTTGTCTAGCAAGTTCTCCATGTTTCTTTAGTTTCACTTTAGAGCCAAAGTGCCAGTCCCTCCTTCTCACAGTTTGGGAGTTTCATGGTTAAACCCCATGGCACTTCTATGCTCCGAATCAGTGAGGGAGGTCCTACTTGGCATAACTACAACCCACCACCTAGCTATGTCTTGAGTCACCTCATTGGAATCAATATGAGCAATCACTCTAAGAAGAAAAATGGTTACTCACCATTTCACATCTGTTGTTCTTCGAGATGTGTTGCTCCTATCCATTCCAAACCCACCCACCTTCCCTCTGTCAGAGTAAGTGGCAAGAAGGAACCAAGGAGGTGCCGGATCGGTAGGGTCATATATTGAGCATGTCATGCCAGGGGGTTCCACAGCTGACCCGACGGTGCTGCTAAAGCAAAAGCTTTCCAATGATAGTGCATGCAGCAGACACAGACACACCTAACTGGAATGGATATGAGCAACACATGTCAAAGAGCAACGGGCATGAAAAAGTGAATTAACTGTTTTTTTTCCCACCCTATCCTCCTCCCCCAGTGTGTTTTGTTTGGGGGGGGAGTTGCCCAGGTTTCTATTTGAATAAGTACCAATTGTTTAAGTCAGGTGGGTGGGTATAGAAAGCCTGCACAAGAGAAGCTCTGTTATAATTGATCTTATAGGACCTGTGAAAGCAGGGCTCTCTTCCTTCAGACTTTAATGAGTCCTTGGGGAGTGAGGGTATGCTCCCACATTCATGAATGCACGCAGGGAATACATGCATGCATTCATGAATGCAAGAGCATGCCCTTAGGGTAAGTCTACACTGCATTCTAAAATTGAAATAAAATGTCTACACTGCATTCTAAAATCGAAATAAGATATGCAATTTGCGCTATGTAAATTGCGTATCTTATTTTGATTTTATTTCAAAATGGGCTATTTTGAAAATTTTGAAATAAAGCGCTATTTTGAGCTATCCATTATTCCTCCTGCAACAAGGTTTACAGGGATGGTGAAATAGCACATTCATTATTCCAAAAATATTTCAAAATAACAAGCGCATTCCTTGGATGCAGGGTAGTTATTTGTGGTATCCCAAAATAGCCTTGCAGTGTAGACATACCCTTAGTGAGATGAGGCTGGAGGATGGGAATGGAGGATACTGTTCCACACTGAAAACTTTAAAATGCTTAGAGTTTTCATTTTTATCTCATCAAATTTTACACCATTTTAAAGTTTTAACATGTTTAAAAGACTCTGCTTTTACCTTGAGCTTATAATCTTGTACTCCCACCTCCTCTGCACCCATTGCTCTGTACCCATTGCTCCTCCTTTCAGAGTTCTCTCTTCCAAGACCAGGTTACATAGCTCCATGCCACCGTGCCCCCAGTACAGCCAGTCTGTGCTACTGTCACTGCTTAGGAGTTAGTTTAAAATGTCTGCCTACCCCTACTTGATATCCATTTTGCTTTAAGTCCTATGTTATATATAAAACAAGCCAGAGTCAGCTCTGATGCAAATCTGTGAATTAAGTCAGTGTGTTATATGGATATGAGAGCAGAATTCACTCCCTTCTTTTAGCAAAATGAAGATAATAGTAAATAGTTTGCTTGTCTTTTCAGCTATTCTCTTGTAGTATGCTTAGGAGTGTGGGTGGTGGGGAATAGAGAGAAGATCTCTAACTGCACACTGACCAGCAAATACCAACAAGCTTATACTTGTGCCAGCATTTCCCACTAAGCCTACTCTGTGCTTAGTTGGGCAGTTCCACCTGCTGCAATTTATTCTCTGTAGGGATTTCTGGAAGTGCCAAGTTTCAATACAGCAGCAGCAAACTGTTACCGTTATGTTCTAAACAACTGACTGCAACCGATTCAAGCAAGCCCATTCCACATGGAATCCTGAGAATCTCCTGCCCTTTAAAATTATATGCCCACTTTAAGCAGATATGATCAGCAAAACTTTGATCCCAACGCTAAACGTTGGGGACCTGAAGATTTCTATTTAAATCACAGTTGGGCAAATCCATGGTGGGTGACTTGAGATGAATCCTCTGAAGTCTTGAGCCTGAAATAGTACTATTTTGAAAACATGAGGATTTCACTGATCTGTACTTTCCAAGGGACATAAATGACAAACACAGAGCCCAATTCTGGCCTTCATTATGCCAGAGAGGGCAAAATTTGGTCAATTATCTTCCTACCTCAAAACTTAGGTTACAAAGAACTGGTCCGCCTCTTTGAGGAGGCAAGGGGCCTGATTCTGCTCTAACTCTGGAATTTCACTAACCAATTACAGAGGGAGTCTACAGAACTGCAGTTCATCTACAGATTTGACACAAACTGATTGGCACATTACAAAGCCAATTTCTTCTGCCATTACCATCTGTATTTCCACACCAAAAGCTATGTATGGGACACATCCAGCCCACTTAATTAGCCTCATTAACACGGGTCCTACAGTTGACAGGTACTTCTGCTGTTATATATGTATATCTTAGCTTCTATTATTTCCACTCCAATTCATCTGATGAAGTGGGTTTTGCCCACAAAAGCTCATTATTCTATATATTTTGATTAGACTTTAAGGTGCCACAGGACCACTCATTGATTTTATGTGGTATAACTCCACTGAGTTCAGTGGTGTCACTCCTGATTTACTCAGCATAAGGGAGAGGATAATCAGGCCCTTGCTTATTATCAGTCTGTGAATTTTACATACAAAACCTATTTCTTAACAGAGTTCATTATTACTTTCTGCTTCTGAATATGACTTGACTGCTATTGCTGGTGTCTATTTAACATTCCATTAGAATGGTACAGACATTTTATCTCAGTCTTATGAAGTGTGAAGACATAATAAATTAACAAAGATTGTTTTCATTGTGAAATGAGTCATATGCTTTATTTCCTCCATCCTTCTTCCCACCACGGATATCCACAAATAAGTACGGGTACGTCTAAACTACATGGCTCCGTCGACGGAGCCATGTAGATTTGTTGTTTTGGCAAAGTCAAATGAAGCCGCGATTTAAATGATCGCGGCTTCATTTAATCAAAGGTATTTGTCGACCACCCAGGTATGCCTCCTGGGATGAGGTTTACCTGGGTGGTCAACAAATACCTTTGATATCGACACCCGCGCGTCCAGACTATCACGCTGAGCCAACAAACAGCTGATCAGCTGTTTGTCGGCTCAGCGCGGCATCCATGTAAATTTAAATGAAGCCGCGATCATTTAAATCGCGGCTTCATTTGACTTTGCCTATGTGTCTAATCTACATGCCTCTGACGACAGAGGCATGTAGTCTAGACACAGCCTACCATTTTAGTATAAGGTGGAGGCTATGGCTATCTACTGATAGGTAGGCTGTGCCTCTCACTAATATCTGAGCACCTAGCAAATAATTAATTTGCTAAATTTACAAATAGCAATAATGAACATGTTTACACTGACTCATGCTGTTAGCAACTGAAGACTGATTTGGGATTAATTCAAATTTCATACCAACTTTCTAGATTCCTTTTTTAAAAGGAGGTAGTATTTGTGCCTCCCCTGCCAAACAATGAACTTTTAGTTTGATGCTAATTCATACTTGTGTGTGAACTTCTCCCTGCCCATCATTTCAAATACCAGAATCCTTTCTGAGTAATTCCATTAGCAAACATAGAAGTCGGTATCCAAAACTTTAATTGGTTCCAGAAAGATCATTTGTGGTTTACAGGATCTTTCAAAAAAGCACTCTGTTTTCAAAAGAACCGTGTCTAGACTGTGGTTTCAATTTTGAAATAGCACTTTTTCGAAAGAGAGTCATTACGTGATTATGCAAATAAAGCATGGGATATTTAAATCCCGGCTTCATTTGCACTTTCGAAGTGCTTCATTTACATCCCTCTGCTAACAGAGGGATGTAGTCTAGACATAGCCTATGTGCAATGATACTGTTCTGTTCTTATGATAGTTAAGTGAATGTTTCTATTGGAGGAAAACAAAAGCTGAAGACAGACATGCCCTTGCAAAAGTCAGGGTTTCAAAGCAATAAAAGCTGCAATCTGGCTATTTTGAATCATTCCTAATAATATCCTATCGAGAGAGACATCTCTTGCCAGGATCTCCTGTAAAATCATTGCAGTTATGAGACCTACAAGACTCATGGCCAAATGTAAGGAGGAAATTATCAATGCTACAGATGGACAGCCTATCTTGTGACAGCTGCTTTTGCAGCTGATGTTTTCAGATTCCCCTTTCTATTTTGTGTAAGTATCTTATTTACATACTTCTTTATGAGGCAAGAGGGGGGAGGAATTGTGTCTGTACAACATTAGTACCTTGGGGATTAATACTTAAGAAGTTATTCCTTACTTATATGATGTGAATCCTGAGTGCACTTACAAGAGTTGTTCCTTGAGCTTCAAAGATTATTTGCATCCACATGACTTGATGCCATTAATTCAAGTGAACTAAGAACCAGACCTGAAAAAACACAGTTTTGGCAAACAAGTTTTATACACATGAATTGAAGACCTATAAATGGGCTACAGCCCAACCCCTAATGTCACTGGCCCTGAATATGCTGTAATATAATTTAAGACTTCTTGGTTAAAGAAAATCTTAATGGTATAGGGCATATCCACCCACAGAGGGTACGTGTTTACTATTTAAACACCTGGAGCTATAGCAAACAGCTAGGAATGAGCAATACATGCTTAACTCTACATACTGTAAATAATCCTATTGAAGCCAATGGCTGTGCATTCACTGTTTAAAAAAAAAGTATGTTTTTATATCAAGTTTGCTATTTTACTGTAAAAACTTAGTTGACACAAGTCACTGTAGCTTGATAGAACAAATCAAGCTAAGCCTGTCATTAGATGATTGGCTTCAGGGGGTCGTGATGGGGGGCAAATCAAGCTAAGCCTGTCAGATGATTGGCTTCAGGGGGTCGTGATGGGGGAATACATGATGTCCCCACTTGGACGTTAAGTTGAGTTGACCATCTCAGTATAAAGACACTCCCTTTTTGCAAAGAAGACAGAACCAATGAGTAAAGCTAAATATATGCATAAATCTTTATTACATCAGGACCCATCTTAATGATAAAGAACATTCTATAAAATGCAGCTTAAAGCCAATATGTAAGTGTAATGTGCAGTTTAAATATTTTTTGCAATTAAAAAAAAAAAAAGCTACATGACATCAAGAATCAGCCCTACCGTTTCTGAGAACAAGCCCAGAATAGGAAGAAACTGCATATCAAATTGACACTCATTCCCTTTCTCTCACCCCTTCTCTCTCCCCATGTTTATTTTTAGTTTCCTTGTCGAAACCTCTACAGAACACAGGCACACACTCTCACACGCATGCTGTAGGTATACCAACACCGGACAGAAAGTTACTCAACGATCTCTCTTACTTCCTATTGAGGAAGAAATTTTGAATTCTGATAAAATTACCACAGCAAGAAGGTCAGGATGATGTATAAATTGCACTATTCCATGATACATTAAAAGTGATAAAGTAACTTGGACACTTGCAGACAAAGGAGAGAGCTGCTAATCTGTTTATGCAGTGACTTCCTCTTTTCTGTAGTTTCCGTCCAAGAGCTTCCTTTTTTTTTTTCCTCCTTAATTTTTTAATTTTCTTTAAATTGAATTTCCATGCCGTCGGCCATAAATGCTGTGGTGGCTCAACAGACAGAAGCTGGGTCAGTTCCCAGCACCAACATTAGCACAACAGCTGAAACAGGAGGAGGCCCTGGGGGAATCTATTCTGCTATCATCAGTCGCAACCAACCCATTATTAGAGTGAAGGAAAAGACCTTTGAAGAACTTCACAAGAAATGCCTGGAGAAGAAGATTCTTTATGAGGATCCTGATTTCCCACCTAATGAGAGCTCCCTCTTCTACAACCAGAAGCTCCCCGTCAAGTTTGAGTGGAAAAGACCCCCAGTGAGTAATTTGTCTAATTAAAACACTGAAAGCCTTTTTCTAATTATAAATATAATCAATGCAGTTATCTATGCTGAGCACATTCACTTGGGGAAACATATACCCTGGAAACATATTTCTCAAATTGTTTTCTAGGATTGGGAAATTTACTGTCTAGGATCTGTGGGGATAGGGAAGTAAGATAGGAAAAAAAACAAGTTGACCTGAAAATCAATAAAACCTTGGATTGTTTATTTGGAACTTTCTATTTTTTGAATGTATTTTAACTGACCCTTATTTGTTGTAATTTGTTGGGAAATTTCTCATCCGAAGACACAAAGCCAAAAAAAATATTAAACCTCTCCTCTTTCTCCAACACACAGACTTGGGCCGGTAAAGATTTATTTATTTTTTAATACTACTGTAATTTACTGGTGAGTTTCTTAATATTACTGCACCACAAACTGCCCCTTGGGCAGATCTTTTCATTTCCACAAGTACCTTTGCGAGGACAGTTCTGAGTTATACCTATGTTGCCACAGTTAAGTCACAACGGTTGCATGCATGTGACAGCAGAATCTGGATCACTTTCTTTTATTTTATTATCTCATCAGTGATTTCCAGTATCACTTTTTCCTAAATGCAAAGCTCAGTATCCTATCATCTGTGTGCTATAAATTGGTGGGTTATAATAATTACGATGGTGGATTCATGTTTAAAAGGTCCCAAATTCACCAATATTTCTGACCTTCCTGACAGACTTCTCCCTACCCAGCCTTCCCCTCAGAGTGAATTCTCCCCCCAAAGTGCTGAATCAAACCAAACCTAGATGGACTCTTGTTTTTCCTCTCACTCCTAATATTCCTTCCAAGTGAGGCAACCCAACTCTCCCAAGGGCCACCTGACCAGCTGTATTTTGGGCTGCTGTCTGTCACTGTTCCATCTGGGCCTCTCTACTTGTGAGGGCCACATTTTGAGGATCTTGCCTTTATCCCATCTCGATTATTATAGGATTCATTTTACATATGTGCAGCATTATCCTATACTTCTGTTCCATAATGAAACATTGATTGAGCTGATGATACAGCATAAAGCTAAAAGGCCAGTGGCCTTGCAGTATGGATATCATAGAACCAGAAAATGACTATAAAGTTCTATTACAGTTATTTCTCCATAGAGTGAGAAAATGAAGGGCAGGAAGATATTTAGTCTCCGCAGAGGTGAAAGTAAATGGGTGCGCCGTTTGAGCAAGAGCTGGCTTAGCTGTGGCAAAAGCCAGCAGGGAGCTGTTAAAAGAGCTGGCAGGGACCCAGGCTGCAATAGGACCATACCTGTAAGAAATTAAATTACTTTCACTCCTGAGACTGTGATGATATTTTGTGCGAGAGTGATTCACACAGTCTGGGATAAAAGCTGCATTGATTTACATCTCAAGTAACATCATGAAGTTTGTGTCTCTACGTAATGACAGAATGAGACCGAACCAATAATAAAAATGCAAGACAGTTCAATCAAAATTAGAAGGAGAATTTATAGTGGAGTTAGTTAAAAACATTTCTGATGTGGTTTGACCTATCTATTGCCCCAAGGTTTCCATAGACCTAACTGGCTATCATTTAAGTCAGTGGTTTTCAAACTTTTTTTCTCATGACCCAATTGTAGAAAATTGTTGATGCCCGTGACCCTACATAATTTGAGTAGCGTGTGGGCACCAGAGAGGGGGTTGAGGATGAGAGCTTCAGCTTTGGGTGTGAATCAGTGCTGGGGTGGGAGGGGCTTAGGCAGCTTCCTGCCTCGCCTGACACCACAGACCATGCTGCACCCCAGAAGCAGTCAGCAGCAGGTTTTAATCAGTGGCACTGCAGAGCTAGTGTCTGGGGCAGGGGCAAGTGCACAGAGTCCTATGCACTCTTCTGTCCCCACCTAGGAGCTGGGCCTACTGCTGGCTGCTTCTGGGGTGCAGTGCAGTCTGAGGTACCAGGACAGGCAGGAAGCCCGCCTTAGCATCCTCAGGGCACATCCATACAGCAGGACTAAAGACAAAATAAGCTTCACAACTTGAGCTACATCAATTGCGTAGCTTAAGTATTTCGGCTTTTGCCGCTGTCTATAGAGCGGGAAGTCCGAGAAGGATCACTCTTCCTCTGACTTCCCTTACTCCTTGTAAAATGAAGGTTACAGGAGTTAGAGTAATAAGTCCTCCAGCTCGACATTATTTTGACATTATGTTGAAATAATTGCCTGTTGTGTAGACAAGGACTATGTTGTTTCGGAATAATGTCAGTTACTGATGTTATTCCGAAATAACACTGCTGTGTAGACATACCCTCACTGATCACCCTGAAGCAATGAGACCCAGTGCTTGACATTCTATGAACCAGTACTGGGTCGCAACCCATAGGGTACGTCTAGATTACCGCGTTTTGTCGACGGAAGTTTTGTCAACAGATACTGTCGACAAAACTTCCGTCGACAAAGAGCGTCCAGACACATTGAGTTCTGTTGACAAATTCCGAAATAACACTGCTGTGTAGACGTACCCTCACTGATCACCCTGAAGCAATGAGACCCAGTGCTTGACAGTCTATGAACCAGTACTGGGTCGCAACCCATAGTTTGAAAACCACTGATTTAAGTGAAGCAGCAGTTGAATTGACTGGCAAGAGCACTACTTTCTCATACTTCCACAGGCATAGTCAGTGGATATGAGAGGAGAACTGAGTAAAGGTATGTAGATAAATGAAAGTGATACACTGAAAAGGGCAGCATTTAACACTCATGTTGCACAGGTGTAAATGACTACACAAACCCATAGTTTGAAAACCACTGATTTAAGTGAAGCAGCAGTTGAATTGACTGGCAAGAGCACTACTTTCTCATACTTCCACAGGCATAGTCAGTGGATATGAGAGGAGAACTGAGTAAAGGTATGTAGATAAATGAAAGTGATACACTGAAAAGGGCAGCATTTAACACTCATGTTGCACAGGTGTAAATGACTACACAAAATGGAGGATTAAACCTTTGGTTTCTAGGACACCTCAGATATTTGGGCCCCTATCCCAGTGATCTTCAATCCACCTTGGAGAAAAATCTTTGATGGAATATGAGAGCTTTTTAATGATTATGTGACAACAATGTGCCCAGGGTTGCACAGTACACAGAAATGCAACCTACACATCTAAATGTCAGACCCTAAATTATTTTCCAAACTGTTTCAATGCAAATTTTAATTTGTATAAAGGAGGCAGCATAGACTAGAGGTGAGAGTAGGGCATTGGCAGTCAGGAGATCTGCATTCTGATCCTGGCTCTGGTACTCTTCTGGGCTGTCTGATGCTGGGCCAGTCAGGAAGGCCCAAATTCTCAACTGTGTCCTTTCATTTGGAGTGACAATGTTTGGATGCTCAACTTGAAGCTCATTGGAGCTGCTGAGCAGGCAGAGCTGTAAATTGCAGATGTGGGTGCTGAGTACCTCTGAAAATCAGGTCATCTTTGTCTCAAGCTAGGTACCTATAGATAAGGAACTTTAAAATTAGTTAATAGTTTCTGAATAATTATGCCTTACCTGCCCTATGCCTGTTTCCTTATCTGTAAAAAGTAGAAGACCCATCTTTATAAAGTGCTTTGAGATTTTGAAAAGTGCACATAAATGCAAAATTTTGTAGTGTATTATAGTTAGAAGATACTCTCTCTCTCTATGAATTTCAGAAGCATATACATCAGCAGCTTCTCTTATAATTCATTCCTCCTCCTCCTCCCATAAACTGAAGCTAGAGTTTCTTGTATTTGTTACTGCAGTCTGCAGATTGACCCAAGACTTTCCTTCCCTGGCATTTAGAACTGCAGCTCAAATGTGCTTCTTCCCTGCTAGGAGAAGAAGAACTTGTCTGATAATGTTACGGACTGGAATGGCAGTAATATACTAATAATAGGACCATAAAGACAACTTAATATGATGCTAGGGTCAAGGGTATTATGCTAAAGGATTAAAACATCAAACTGCCAAACATTCAAGGCTAAATTGCAGAGGTACATATCCATATAATCCATTTCATAAAGATATTGACATCTTCCATTCTTACTTAAATGATGGGGGTAGGGGGAGGAACCTTTGTTAAAATAGAGTTTAAGATTGTAACTAGATGAATTTACAACACTATTCTTAGAACAATGTAGTTATTTTAAAAACTGTTTAAGACTCAGGTAATTGGAAAACTGTAGTTTAAAAACAGAACAAAATGAAAAATGCCAGGCAGTTTGCAAGTAGTGAGAGACCATTCCAAGGCCACCTTTAACTCTGCTGCCTTTCTCTTACTACCACATGTATCTTAGATATGCAGTGTTTTCCCAGAAGGAATAAAAAGTACATGTTAAATGGAGCTAGGTCCATAGATTAAAGCACAAGACTAGAAGGTATGGGTTCTATTCTTCACTACCACTAACTTGCGGAGTTTCCCAAAGAAAATCAATTAACCTCTTTTTGTCTCAGCTTCTCCCTCAATAGGATGGGAATAAAAATATTACTTACAATTATGTTATTTTTTCTACTAATTATTATGCTAATCTTTGAAATTCTTTAATGGAAGCTGCTATATAAGAGTCAAGTATTATTGCAAACACTACTGTGTCTATAATATTAAAAATAAATAATAATAGTGTACCAGTGACTCTCAACCTTTCCAGACTACCCTTGCAGCAGTCTGATCTGTCTCGTGTACCCCCAAATTTCATCTCACTTAAAAATTACTTGCTTCCAAAATCAGACATAATAGTACAAATGTGTCACAGCACATTATTACTGAAAAATTGCTCACTTTTTATAAATCAATTGGAATATAAATAATGTACTTACATGCCTGTGTGTAGAATATAGTGCAGTGTAAACAAATCATCATATGAAACTTTAATTTATACTGACATGGCTAGTGCTTTTTACGTAGTCTAGTTATGTTAGCAACTATCTAGATCAGCTGACAATGCACCCTGGAAGATCTGTGTACCCCCAGGTGTATGTGTGCC